CGTGGCATCCCAACAATTACTCCTTTCACACGCAGAAGAAGGCAATGGCAAACCACTTCTGGATCATCTGCCAAGAACGTATATGAACAGGTCCCAGTCCGAGAAAAGGATGGAAGGATCCTGTTCATATGGACCTGTCGTCAGACAGAACACTAAATAAATAATAATACTAAAAAGCGTACACCAGAGTCTGTACTGTTGAGGTTGTTTGCTTAATTAAAAAAATTTCCCTGCAACGAATTGTCATTTGAACACAGAACTCAATAACTCGGAATCCGTCTCATTTTTAAGGAACCAAATTAACGATGGATATCGAGGGCTTACTGTATTCTTATCCTGGAACAAGAAAATTGCCAGGGCTGTGTAAGAAATCCATTACTGTACATTCCTTTTCATAAGAAGGACGATATAATAATTATCACGGAACGTTACTTTTATGAACTGAACACAAAACTTTTTTTCAACATTTTATACGAAGGTTAACTCCGTATGTAGACGAAGTAACTGCGATTATATATCGGAGAAGAAAGGACAGTTCATAACCATCAGAGCATGGTTCTGTTAGTAGGGAAGCATTAAATTCGGGAGAGAATTATTATATAACATTCTCACTGAATTCGGTACTTTTTAGGCTAATTAAAATGTTTAAATTAAACTTGTAATAAATTCCATACAGTTACTCACTTGCCTTACGCATTCATCTTTAGACTGATATAAAACAAGTAGATGATTTATCATCTTTTGGAACATAAAATAAAAAACTAGGATATAACTTACTGATGGACGCTACAACAGAAATTAAATGTTGATATTAATATTTTAATTAAGATATTAAGAGATTAATGGCTATTGGATTTTGCTGGCCCAAGACAGGGACAGGTAGATGGCTTTTGTTAATTCGGTGATGAACCTTCGTGTTCCCTACGTCATCTAGTTAGATAGTTATTAAGAGATTAATAAATAAAATGCATTGCCAGATATATCATTAATAACTGATTTTGTTAAAGAGTTACTGATTAAAATCTGAACTTGTTTGTAACAGAAGTTCTAATTTAGGAGCATTATTAATCAGTTTAAATGAGGTTTCAATAAATTGTCCTCATTTCTATCGTTCTGCCTTACGACTCGACAGGAAAGAGCACGTGAATGTCACTCAAGATTGTGAAAAGAATGAGAACTCCTAACATAACCTAACTTTTATTATTCCCGCTGGTTGATTACTCGGTTTGGATATAATCATTAAAGACGGTAACACCTGTCGCATACACGAAAACTGTGCACACCCGAGACGAAATTAACACCAACGTTTGAAGACGAAATTTCTCTCCGTCTTTGATTAAGATTGCCCAGACACAAATCTCTTCACAGCGATCGTCAATAACTTCTAGGCCAGCTTTGGAAAGTGATTTGTCTCGACGTCATGGTAAAAGATAAATGAAGCAAAAAGAATGACATACCAGCATCCCGTTACATTCCTGAGGATAGGAAGAGAGATGAACTTTAGAATATCCACCTCTCGTCAGATCATTACATACGAAATGTCTGAGCTAATGCAGATGAATTATGGGTTATTTAACGACCATCTCCCAGCTGTATGGAGTGTGTCAGATAACAGAACTATTGCAGATTTTAAACTGAGAAGGATTCGGATTAAAGTGGTCATGGCATACTTTTAGGTGTCATTCCAGCATATTCGTTGACGGACTAAAGCTTACCACAAAGTCGCAGTCAGAACGAGATTCCGGAAAGACCTTGAGTTGAGTTGAACCTCGGCCATCAGACACGTTTATCACTACAATTAATCTACCGGATAGATTAATATTGCAAAATCTGGAGCTATGAATATCTCTGAAGCCTTTATATAATATAGTTTCATCGAAAAGTGGACTTATAGCTCAAAATGTATACTAAGATTGTTATTTTAAAGTTTATTACTTGAAATCAGTTGACTTAGTTAACGTCTGTTAAATAGAACAAAATCATTGCTAATTTTGCATGTTATTATTTTATGTTTCAGTAATTAATTAGCATCAGCTTACACAAGGAGCAGGGTTTTACATTCTGGTTCCATTTTCATAAACCTTATTCGTAAATTACGTCAAGTTTTCGTAATTTTACTCAAGATTCTTAAAGAGTCATCACGATCGAATTGAAAAACAGACCAAGAAAACTGTACCATCGAAACTAACATAACTGCAGATACCTTTACGTCAAAGGATGAGAATTTTCGTGTTAGTATGCGAAATGGCACGCTCGAAGCAGATCCATCTAACGGGCCCCTGACTTTAACTGACAGTCCAGTTACAAACACACAGCAAAGAACATGGTGACTTCTTATATTTTGCATAGGAGGTTAAATGTAACCATCTGTAAATGAAATGTCAGGTGCAAAGCAATGCTGAGAGATTTTGCTGTTTTTTTCAGAAACGTTCTCTGTCGGATTATCTACGTAAGTGAGTAATTCAACATTTCACTCCTCGGTTCAGTTTCTAGGAGCTTAAGAAGTTTCAGTCTCTCTAGAAACCTGGATGCACGAAGTGAATTTATTTTCTAGGAGCTTAAGAAGTTTCAGTCTCTCTAGAAACCTGGATGCACGAAGTGAATTTATTAATGTGCGTCCTCACTAAATAATTTCGAGCTAATTAAATGTTGATACACTGGCGATAGGACAAAGTTTCTAACACACACAGAGACTAAATATGACCAGAAAGTATTTCAAACAAAATACCAAACAATTAAAAATGTCCGGAAGTAGACGATTTAGTGCACAAGAAATCAGTTAAATTGGTTACGACGTCATGACCAGAATGTTGTTTGGGATTTTGAAGTTCATTCCAAATCATAATGTGACCGTGGCCCAACATAACACCGAGCCTGGATCCAAGTTACAAATAAACGGGTTGAAGGGAGCGGAAACCCTCGAAACGATACGGAGAGACAAGAATGTCCTTCCTTGAACTTACTAGGGCGTGGGGACTGAAGCTTGAGCCAGTGTTGCTCGTGTTTCACAATTCTTTGCTTCACAAAGTACAGTACAGTTCAAAATACAGCGTAATAAACTTCCACCTCAAACTGTGACGTAGCCCATGCTCGGAATTATCTGCGTCTACTGTAACAAACTGGGAAATCACACTTTCAGGTAAAGGCGGCCTAAAAGTATTCAATATCGTTTTTCATTGATATAGTACGAAAGCTGCTTTATTTTTAGGGTGTATGTTGGGAAAGGCAAAGCTGTCCCGCTATACGCCATGTAGGCGCTTGGGGGGAGAGAAATACAACTCCTACTCATTCTTACCCCCGGTACTCATTGGATAGGAGGCTGGGTGGGCCCCAGACCCGGTCTGGACGCAGAGGCTAGAGGAAAAATCCTCGACCCCTGTCGGGAATCGAACCCCGGTTGTCTAGTCCGTCGTCAGGGGTTTAAACTGTGAAAAATATTAAAGTAGATAATCTCCGAAACAGAATTCAATTAACTCAGATGTGCCTAGAGGGCTTACAAGAAACCTATTACTTTGTATGACACGTGTTCATATTTTTAGAATAATCTGTATTTCTTTTAATCATTATAAAACATTTTACGGACGAATTGTTTAAGTGGTATATGGGCTGGAAATTATTGTTCGTGGTGAGTGTTCCCCGTTTTTCGAAACTGTTAACCTCAATGATATATGAAGTTGTTTCCTACGGAGTTCGAAAATGCCCATATGCAATTTATAACAACGAGGGTAATTGATAGCCAC